AAGAGGACAACTTCGTAAGGTGTCCATAAATAGGAGGAGACGTACATTTAAATCGCGTGGATGTGGAATGCAAACATAAGCACACTTAATTTTTTTCGCACTAAGATTCTACACTAAGAATTTTGAATGAAAAAAAATAGAGATTATGTAGTATCTTGGTGCACAAGTAATAAATGGTTCAAATACTTAGAGATAAGTTAGATGACTCATGCTGCCAACCAAATTACAGAGACCATGCATATGAGCCAATATTTACAAAAAACAGTATCAAACACAGAATTCTTTCAAAACACTCCTCATAAAAATCAAAGTTAATAGAAAACAAATATTTTTTAAACCCTATTAAACATAAGCTAAAATATTCCAGTTTGAATTTGGAAGTACGATAGATACAGTCTCAATTGAAACTGCCAATGACAAAATCTGTGGTATGCTCAATGAAAGCATGTTTTTATTTATTCGGTATATAATTACGAAGAAGCCCTTCAACCATATGGAATCTCTGACTTTGGGGTGAGCGATGCAATTTATGAATTTGAGAATCAAAAACACTATTCCTCATCATAACTTTAAACTTAAGTCATTAGCCTATTACCCAAAACAGGGGAGTGGATTCCCAAGGACGTTTAATGCATTTTCACTGTATAATCATTTAAACCCCGCCCAAATATCAGAAATCCTAGCCCTGGGGCTATGAAATTTACAATTTAAGGAAAAAAACCTTTGCTTGTCATAATTTTACATTAAATTGTATTTATTTAAGGCGCTTGACCAGAGAATAAAATTTTAAAGGAAATAAAGCACTTTCACTAGAGCTCCACCCAAGTTCAAGAACCCCTGACCCTCGGGCCATGGATTTAACAATTCTGTTAGAGGACTCAATACTTAGTAAAATCTTGCCAATAGATTGGTTAATGGCCACGCAAGCGTAAAGAAGATTGTTTGAAATTGCAAAAATTTAAGAGATTTTGGCCCACCACTGAGGCCCAAGAAGGCAGGGGCCATAATTTTTATATATACATACATTTCTGTTTTCCGTCACCCACGGATGTTATTTGCCAAATTTGATTGACTTAGGTGCAGTGGTTCCAGAGAAAAAGCTAAGACTGTTTAACTAAACGAACAAAGAATGTTGACTAATGATAACATATAGCCATAGAACACCTGGATCAGTCAGCTAGGTGAGCTAACAGTGAGCATCCTCTTTCAGATGATCACATCCGGCCTGTGCTCCTGGTCATGGTCGGGAAAAACGGAAAATGCTAATTAGTCATTACAATATATTAACATTCGCTGTGTTTTTCTACTAAACCAACTGTGAAATTGATTTGAAAATCATTTTCGTGTATACTCACGCGTAGAAATATACACGGAGAAACGTGCGTTACCGTGACGTCACAATAGGGCTACAGCAACGTTAGTAAAGTATAACAATAGAGGGCAGCGAAAAATTCAAATACTGAGTACATTTTCGGTGCTTCAAAACATTTAAAATGTAAATATAAGGAATGTTTTTAAGTTTAGTGTGAATTATTGGTGTGAGAATCACAGAGACTTGCACGTAGGCATATTTTTCATGAAGCGCTAGCGCGCTGCATTAAATATGCCTACGTGACAAGTCTGTGTGATTCACACACCATTAACTCACACAAAACTTAAAAACATTCCTTAAATGTATCACAACAAAGGTCAGTATTTGTCTAAAAATATAGGTTGACAAGATCCTTGTATTTACCCGAAACTTCAAAAAAGATGAATTCACAGGAAAATGTTGATTAATATACATATTATTACATATATATAACATGTGTTCTCCATTCACAAAACCTCTGTCTATGGACATAGTCTTACTGAAGCTATCAATTGAACAATCAGCATCAGTTTATTGCATCATACAAACTGTAGAGATAGGAATAGATTGTACATCGCTTTTGTACCTAGTTGTTTACCAAAATATTCAGTCTTGCGTTGTTATTGGACGTGTTCATAATGTGTTTGAATACAATGTCTGAATTCATGGTAATCAATGACTCTAAAATCGAATCAAATGATTTGTATCTTTGGTCAAGTTATTGAGAAATCTCAGGTCAGAAATATCGAAATCTTACAGACAACACTATTATTATCCTTTACAAACAATACTGTTGCAATTTTTTGGGCAATTTCACGAAAGTTTCAAGTTACACAAGTTATTATTGAAATTTTCCTACTATACACGTCATGTGTCATTTAATTTATTTTAAACGTCTACTTGACTTCAGTGTTGTTTTCCTTCCGTGCATACTTATGGTCAAGATCTAGTAAATGAAAGATGCCTACAGATTTATCAAATTTTAACAATAAATTCCTTTAATGTCTTTAACTTAGACAAAATAAGGTGTTTCAGAGTAAAATGTGTAGGTGAACAAGATACCCCCCCCCCCATTTTAAACAGCCATATTCAATGAAAAAAATATGAAACACAGTTATGAATATCCCTTTTTTCATATTCCACAAAGGCAATGTATCCAGATTGTGTATAGTCTCTACGAAAATGGTAATTTGTCATGTTTTTGGCCACATCTTTAAAATGATATCAAAATTAATATAGGTATCGAAATGACAAATTGAATTCCATGAAAATACCCTTTTCTACATATTTCTGCTAAAGCCGTATTGTATGAATAAAAGAAAGTTCAAATTGATTAAGGTGTCATTATAGATGTAGTTTCAAACAAGCTAATTCAGAGAATTCGTGTCCCCCACTTAGGGAAAAAGTCGGATCCCCTGACTTAATTTGTAGAATTATTAATAATAATTGTATACTATATGCTGAAGCAAATGAAATACATGTATTTCAATATGCGTATAAAGATTTGATTCCTTATTCTTTATTATGTGTATAGAAGATTCTTTTGACATGGAATATCTATCACACTGTAATGATTATTTTAAAACCTCATAAATTATTCCTTTCACATCCTGAATACTAAGAATAAAAAAAGAAAAGTTTTAAAAAACAAGAGATGTTTGTAAAACACTTATGCCCCCCTCCCCCCAAATTGGAATTTTTCCAAGTCCAAGGGGCAAAACTCTGTCAAAAATGGCACGATTGTACCCAAAACATAACTTAGATATTCATCTGATAAATCTGTACACTAAATTTCATCTCAGCATATTTGTGCAACGGTTGTGAAGAAAATGCAAATAATTGGAATTTTTTTAAGTCCAAGAGGCATAACTCTGTCAAAAATGGTGCAATCATACCTAAACCAGAGCTTGACCTAGATATTCATCTGATATATCTGTATACAAAATTTCATTTCAGTATGTGCAACGGTTGCAAAGAAAATGAACGGAAACTGCAAATAATTGAAATTTTTCTAAGTCGAAGGGGCATAACTCTGTCAAAAATGGTGCGATTGTACCCAAAACAAATCTTGACCTAGATATTCATCTTATTAATCTGTATACTAAATTTCATCTAAGTATGTGCAACGGTTGTAAAGAAAATGAACGGAAACTGCAAATAATTGAAATTTTTCTAAGTCCAAGGGGCATAACTCTGTGAAAAATGGTGCGATCGTACCCGAAACAGAACTTGACCTAGATATTCATGTGATAGATCTGTATACTAAATTTCATCTAAGTATGTGCAACGGTTGTAAAGAAAATGAATGGAAACTGCAAATAATTGAAATTTTTCTAAGTCCAAGGGGCTTAACTCTGTCAAAAATGGCGCGATTGTATCCAAAACAGAACTTGACCTAGATATTCATGTAATATATCGGTATACTAAATTTCATTTCAGTATGTGCAACGGTTGCGAAGAAAATGAACGGAAACTAAGTGGACCGACAGACCGACAGACCAACGGACCGACAGACGGACAGACAGCAGCAAAGCAATATGCCCTCCCTTCTTCGAAGGGGGGCATAAAAAACGGATCGCCCGAGACTCGATCCCGGTACCTCTCACATATAAAGCGAGAGACATACCACTAGACCATGGAATCGCTATAAATGACGGCAAGTATATGGAGAAGTCAAGTTACATACATGTATATATTAATGTTCCGTATTGTCAAAATTTTACACAATCCATGGTGTTTGATTTATTTAGCCTTTATTTAACAGTTCTAATAGATGTAATAAGAACATAAAGTCCGCCGAGAACCTGTTTTATACGCAATAACTCTCCGCATGCCCCTGTGCTAAAAATAGCGACATGTAATACTATAAATACTAATAAAACAAACAGGGTGGGGCACTTTGAGAGGGGCGAGAGAGGTCCTAGGGAGTTTTAGTATAAAATTACATTGCATAAGCTCAAAATCTTCTTTAAATATCGCCCGGAAATGAGAGTGTTACACAGACAGAATGTATAGATTTACGACCTTGAACTTTGACCTTTTGATCTCAAAATCAATAGGGGTCTTCCTTAGGCCACAGGGAGTTGTTATGTAAAATTTCATTGCAATAGCGCAAATGGTTCTAGAGATATCGTGTGGAAACGAAAGTGTTATAACAGACAGAATTTGCTTATTTATGACCTTGACCTTTGACCTTTTGATCTCAAAATCAATAGGGGTCTTCCTTTGGCCACAGGGAGTTGCTATGCTAAATTTCATTGCAAAAGCTTAAAGGGTTCTCGAGATATCGTGTGGAAACGAAAGCGTTAAAGACAGACAGAAAGGCGGACGGACGGACGGATGGACAGCTAGACGGACAAACCCAAATTAATATCCCCCACTTTTCAAGCGGGGGACAGTCTTAATTCATTTATAGATGTTGACCTAATATAAATGACCTTAACAACTCCTGTTCTTACTTTACATACCGTGGACGTGCTTAGGCGTTTTATTTTGTTATAGTGTTTTCATTCTCTTCTTTTAAGATGTAGTCTTTCAATTTTCAAAACATGATTGCAATATATTATACTTCTTTCCTACAAATAATTCTCAGCTTTGGCAGACATAAAATGTTTGAAAAATTAAATAAAAAATGTATTCAAAGATTAAAAAAAACCTAAAAAGGAAAACACACCTGACCATAGCATTCTATGAATAATATTCATAATTTGAAGCATGCTTTGCCTCAGACCTCAATACTGCTTCTTTAAGCTCTTTCACATCTGACCACATTTCTTTCACCATTTCATGCTGACTTTCCATTTTAACCTTTTCAATAATATCATTTTCATCTTCCTCTTTCAGAGTCAGTTTTTGAATGTTATTAAGTTTATCCAAGTACTTCTTTCCAGTGAAGGTTTCAAGTCTTTTGCAGATATCTGACATCAATAACCAGGTATCATCGAATTCTTTCTGAGGGGTTGAGGCTGAACTCACATGTGCAGTCAAACCGTTCCGGATTGACCTAATTCTCTCGACATCATCACCCACGGTCACTTCTCCTGCTGCAGGCTCGTCGCCCCATTTTCGTTTTGTTGGTTTAGGAATCTTAGTCGTTGAACAAATGTTTCTGATCAATGTGTATGTTAATGAAATATCAAAATTCTTATATCCCGAATGTTTTGCATCTATCAGGAGTTTTTCTTGTTCTGGGCGCAATCTTTTGTAAAAATTTGGTAAAGCTTTCACTTTGGTGTAAACAAGGGAAGGGAGAACCTCCATCTCTAGTATATCTCGGTATACCTGACTCAGCACATCGTTTGTTGCCATTCCAAGTTTGGCAAATCTAGATCGACCCCCCAAGTCTTGACCAGAAGCACTCGTCGTACTGGAAATACTTGGTTTTATCTAAAACAAGAATCCACCTCATTCAATTAATATCGCTAATCAATTTTAATAAAAATAAAAAAAACATCATATCAAAGAATCACTTATAGATTTTTCTTGGAAATTTGTATTCTAAAAGTTGTAAGAAGAAAACACATTTTAATGGATAAATTAATTTGAATACTGCTGTAAAGTATGAGGACATCTTTGCCATGTAATACATGTAATTCATTCAGAAACTGATTAGAAAAGGAAATTTTTTAACTTGTTTGCAGTTGTCAAATATATATGTTTTATGTATTGATGTAGTATTCAACATTGTAAAAGAATCACCTGTTTCCAATATTTCGTTATATCTTCTGTGTTGACACGGTGCTTCCTGTTTGCTGGACAGGATGGACACAGAAAAGTTTCTTTGATACACTTAGATTCACTTATGACAGCACTTTCTTTGCTGTCACAAAATCCAGTTGATTTGCATTTGAATGCAACCTGGAAATCTGAGTTTTTCTGGAATGTGTTGGAAAGGTTGTGTAACATACGCTCAATGTTTTCCCTAATCTGGTGACAGGTTGAAACATCAACTTCTCCCTCCACAACAAACACTTGCAACTGAATTTCTGATTGCGTCATTCCAAGCATGATGTTATGGTGCTGGTCATGAAACATAAAAATAGCTGCAGTCTGGTAAATGCATCCTCTGTCTTCATCTGTAAAAATCTCCCAGTTAGGAATCTGCATGCACGTTGCTACAAGGCGATGGAAAATTTCCACAGGAAGAACATCAAACGTGTAGCAAAGGATGGAGGAGGCAGGGTATGATGAAAAGCAGTCTACTGGAAATTGCATCTTGTTCATACATGGGACATACCATATTTTGTCGCTCATTTTAGCTAAGAGTCCTAACTTCTCCATGTACATCATGATATCCTCTTTGTGCTCAAGGTAACCATTGTTGTTCATTCTCCATATGGCACATAGTAGTGCTTCATCTAACTCTCCAGTTTCATTGAATTTGTCCCATTCTGAGGCATATTCAAATAAATCTTCTTTTGCATGGTTTTTGTCTGTTATGACATTTCTAAAGGCATCTGCAAACCACTGAACATCGAGGATAATAACTTTATTGAGGAATTGTTGATTGAAGTGCATAAGTTCTCTGATGTCATGGAAGAACTGCAGCATGGCATCCATATCTTCAGTAGTTTTGAGCTTTATTCCCTCAGGCAATGTTTCATTAAAAGACTGAAGTTCAACCGTACTCAAAATCTTGCGAATTTTCTTTTCCAGAAAGAATGTTTCAAACATAGCCCATGACTGTGGAAGCTCCTCACCCCAGTGATCAAGCCTGCACACAACATCAGCAATGGACAGCTTAAGTTTTTCAATGATTTCATTGTCATGGAATCCAACCGCAAATCGCCGTTTCACATCAATATGTTTTTGCAAGGACTTCTTCTTCATGTCAAGAGTCTTCCATACTTCTCGGAAAAACAATTCTTTTTCCTAACGAAAACAAATTCCTTATTCTATTTTATGCTAACAAATTAGTCGTAGTAAAACAAGAGGCCCAGGGGCCACATCGCTCACCTGAGCAAATCGGCTAGGAAAAAACACAAATCAGATCAGAACTGAAAAGTTTACTGAAGAGGGGAGGGGGGGGGGGCTTGAATTTAATATTACTTTAAAATGCCTTCATATATATACAGCATATGCACCGTGTATATCCCAACATGCGGGGTGTATACTATGTTGTGCATGCTTCCGTGGGTGTATGCTTCCGAAGCGAGAGAAAGGGGGTCAATGTACGTTCTTTGTCCATTTTCTCAACTTACGGATATTTTTCGCCAGAAAGCATATGCCTACGGAAGAAAGCATTATCTGAGGAGTATATGGATATCTATGAACCCACTGGAAACCTTCTAGTTTTATCAAACACCTCAACACAATTCCGAGGATTGGAGCAAGATTGACGCAACACTGGGTTTATGATCAAATATCTGAAGAAAGCTTTGCTTTATCATCACTTTTATAGCATTGTTAAATACATGATTGCTAGATAAATGTTTGTACAAATTGTCTGTTAATAAGACAGTTCGTATATAAAGATATTGACGAAAAACCTATGTTATGTCCGGGGTGTATGCAACTTGTTGTACGCGGGGTGTATACCCCAAATTTTTCTTGGGATTGTTAGTGCGAAGTATATATTGTGGAAATATTTATACACGTTTAATAAGCGACATTATTTTGAACATTTAACGTTCTCTCATAACTTCTGTCTAACCTTTTTCAACATTTATTAAATGATACTGCATACGGAGTGTAAATAACACTCAATAGATTGGATACGCAAGATCATGCTCTACGTATTAACAATTTTTAAAACGAAGTAAATTATTGACAGGCAAGTTGATGAAAAAAGAATATTAGCCGTCTCGCTTAAAGTCATCATTTCGTAAGTTCTATGGTAGATATAGTGAACTTGTCAACAAATACAATTTATTATTGAGTCAAATGCTGACTGACGTTTTTCATACTAATTTTTAGTCCTTTATTTATACACTGAATTGACGACGGATTTTTTCCGTTATTTCCTGATCATGACAAGGAGCACGCGGCGGTTGTGACCGGTCAGTAGGGGATGATCACTCATCCCTTGGCACCTGATCCCACCTCTGATGTTTCGGAGGTCCGTGTTTGCTCTGCTCTTGATTTTTATTGTTTTATGGACTTTGAGATTGAATACTGTTCGTTATCTCCACACCCCTTTTATTGAAAATATTTAGCTTTTTGTAATATAAACACCGCAAAAAATGTTCTCATTCATGTAGAATTTATATGTTGTGTACTTTACCCCCAGGAGCTCACATTTGGCAGTTAACTATTTGTTTCATATTGAGGCATTGTATTGTACTGAGTACATATTTTTTTAGGAATGGGCCCGGGGGGTGGGGGTTGTGTCTTAGGTCATTTTTTTTTGGGGGGGGGGTAACTTTACTATGTGTATATACGATAATAAATTAGAGGATGGGTGAACATTAATTGATATTAATTACACGTCAGCGTAAAATTGTAATTGTACCAAAACATCTTTTATTTAATTGTGCATGCCCTCAGAAAATGAAATTGTCATCCCTTATTACAAATGTGCATTTTTATAGCTGGCTTTATATGTTTATTATGATTTGTAAAATATGAAATCTTTTCAGATAAGGAAAAATGAGTCCACATATTTCAAAAATTGAAAGGAAAATTAATTTAATATATCATACAAACACGTAGTATCAGCCCCCCCCCCCCCCTTTTTGAAAATATAATGTATAGTGGGGTATTTTTGTGGATCGATTATTTTGGGGTTTTGACAATTTGTTCCTATTGCAAACATGTTGAATAAGTGTACAGTACTAAGGCTATCAAAAATTAATTCCTTGGTTCTCAGGCCAATTTTCTCCAAAACAGATGCGGGAGGGTGGCATTTTATTTTTCATTTTATTGGCAGTAAAGTAGATGAGGGAGGTATTTTTTTAAATTTTAATTTCCCAATTTTCTTTAACATAAAGATAATTTTTTTAATCACAGATATACTTTCCATTTCTGGTCAAAATTTCTGCTTTATCCATTGCTTAACAGCGTGTAAACATCGTAGGTAATGTCCTCGAATGTATTTTCAAACGAAGTAGCCTAAAATCTCATTGTAAATGGCTACCGGAAGTGATATTTGAATACTAAACTACGAAACAAATGAGGTCGGAATTTTTTTTCCCGGATTGGTCTCCGCAGTACCAACTTTTTATTTTATCAAAAATGCAATAAATTCGGCAATGCGGCTACCTCAAAACGGATGCGCGCGGGCCTGAGAACCAAGATTTCAATTTTATATGGCCTTAATATAAGTTGTTTCTTTTTCAAAAATGTCAAATTGCCTTAAACCAATGTGTGTGTGTGTGCGGGGGGGGGGGGGGGGGGGGTCCACGAAACAAGTACCTGTGTACAGAAAATGATTGTAAAATAGTTCCTGCCATTTTAGATACTTACTTTTGCAGCCAAGTAAAACTATGTATGTTTGCCGTTCAGTTAAAAAAAAAGAGAATGGTTAATGAAAAAAGATTTTCCTGTTTCACTCTGAAATACAGTAGGAGTTGTGTGAGCGAGAGCCCCCCCCTTTATAGCTACAACTTATGTCAAGGTTTTTTTCTGGTATCCCCCCTAAAAAGATTCTACATCACTGTCATAAGAGAGCTTAAGAATACATGTATTGATAACATAAAAGTTGCAGAAACAAAAGAGATTGTGTTCTTAATACACATTCATGTAGTGTTTCTATTATTTTTAACAGGCAAAATATATAGGTTAAAACTTTAAGTTGGACAAAGTGTACACTGCATTGTCAGGGATGGATGTACCCCTATGGAGAGATTTATATCTTTTATTTACATCTGCGTAAATTTAAGTCTCCATTATATTTATATTGATATCTAAGCTCCTGTTATGTATAATATGAAAAACATTTATCAATAATTTTTTTTTTTTTCTTTTGATAAAATATATTTGATTTGTTTTATACTTCAGTAAGTTTATAGACTTGACTTTTTGGTTTGGCATTTATAATATGAACATTTATTGTCAACACTACCTGTCGCTTTTGAACGTGTATTGGCTATTTCCTTCAATATATACTTCGCACTAACAATCCTCTGGACTCGACACGAAAAATCTCTGTGGCTCACCTATATATATACGTTTGCATACACCCCGGACACAACATAGGTTTTTCGTCAATATCTTTATATACGAACTGTTTTATGAACAGACAATTTGTACAAAATTTATATAATCATGTATTTAACAATAATATAAAAGTGATGATAAAGCAAAGATTTCTTATGAGATCATTTTTTTTTTAATCTCATTTAAACAAAACTTGATCTCAATATCTCATCATTTTTTTTCAATTCGTGATTCTCCCTTTGTCTCCCATAATAAATACACCACTCCATCTTTTCTCACTCACTCATTTCTCTTAGTTTCTGGCTCTACGAATCTGAAATCTTGCAACATCCAATGGGAAGACATTTCTAACCACTTTTACTATCTATATTCCAGAAGAATTGTGTATTGTTACCCCACCGCGACAACATAGTATACACCCCGCATGTCTTCATATACACAGTGATATGACTTTGCTGTTCTTGATAATAAAATATATTAACATTTATCACAAACTATCAAAATATAACAATTTATGACTGTCAATAATTACAATTTTACTTCTCATATATCTTGTATAAGCAGATCACCAATACCCTCTTTTCCCATGTTCATGATGTTTGATATATTTAGTTAACATTTTTATTCCCATTGACAGAAATCTTTAGGTGTTTTGTTATCATTCATACTCACTGTCCAGTAAATCTCGGATCTTATCCATGTAGATCTCAAAATAGGAAACCTAGAAAAACAAAATAAAAGTGAGGATAAAAGAAAACATCAGCTTAACATTTAATTATTCATAACAGTTACACCTCAGGTAAACATAATCAAATTTATAAGTAAGACCAATCGGACATTCCCCTTTCTCACCATTGGATAACTACATTGTACTCATGTCTTATATTCTGTATTCTGTAACTACCTGTCCAATGTAATCACCAACACACCACCCCTAAATAATTTTTATACATCTACTTTGATGTGATATTCCATTTCATATATCGCCCCGATGAATTTATTTTTCTTTGATGTGGAATTCTTTCAAGATATTTTTAAAGATATAACTTTTACACATCTACTTAAAACTTTGATGTGATATTGACCCCATATATCCCCCGATCATGATTTGAACAAATTTGAATCTACACTTGATGTGGAATTCCATTTCATATATCGCCCCTGATATAACTTTTATACAAATGACTTTGATGTGATATTCCATTTCATATATCGCCCCCTATATAACTTTTATACGCCTACTTTGATGTGATATTCCATTTCATATATATTGCCCCTGATATAGCTTTTATACACTTACTTTGATGTGGAATTCCAGATTTTCTTCCATTCCATAAATGTATGAAAATGTGAAAAGTTTACATCAATAATTCGACAACATCTTGTCATTTCCAAGAACACCCTGTCCAAGATTAAAATAGAAAATTCTTAAGCAGAGAATAAAATTTCATTGCATATTTCCAACTATGACAGTACACAATACATGTGAAAGAAATGCTTCAGTGGTTCATGTATATTTCATCTATATATTATATTACATAAGAGATCAGAAAAACTGCATGTCATAAAATATTTGTGTAAAAAAAATAACAATGTTTAAAAATGATACCTTTTCTGTTTTGTTCACACAATATTTAAGTTGAAAGTTATCAAAACATTCTTCTTGTTTTACATGTTTTTCTCCCTTGTATGGGCTGAAAGCATGTATTTTTTTGTCATGAAGAGCTCCTATAAGGGCAATAACTCTAAAATAGTCAATAAACTAAATGAAAAATCTATATATGTGTGTTTTACAAGGCGGGGCATACATGTATATGCAAACTTATTGTATCCGCCCAATACATCTGAAAGAAAGGATCTCAATAATTAAAATGATTAGCATGTGGTAAGCTAGCAAAAAAACACATATCAGATCAGAACTGTAATTAACTAATAACATGAATAACCTTGAACTGGTTTTAACTTTGAATTTGTTAACAGGAGTAACAAGTACTAGATAATCATTAACTGGAATGCTGACAAATCGAATAAATCATGGTTGGTTTATAGTACTATAGGTGTGTCCATAGGAATTGAACTCAAAATGGAAGGGTGACATTTTACAAGTAGAAAACTGTCCTGGTTTCCTCCCTTTGTGGGAACAGAGGGGACAAACTTGAATCTACACTACCTGAGGATGATGTCCACATGGAAATTCATCTTTCCCCCAGTGGTTATGCACAACCCTGACATGTATTCATTTTTGTATATATTCATAAAATTTGACTATGCAATTTTCCCATCAGCATATTTAAAGTGCATATGAAAAACTTGGCAATCTACACTACCTGAGGATGATTCCACATGAGTTTCATCTTTCCTGGCCCAGTGGTTCATGAAAAGAAGATTTTTAAAGATTTTTCCTATATATTCCTATGTAAAACTTTGATCGGCCATTTTGGCCCCGCCCTACCCCCGGGGGACATGACTTGAACAAATTTGAATCTATACTACCTGAGAATGATTCCACATGAGTTTCATCTTTCCTGGCCCAGTGGTTCCTGAGAAGAAGATTTTTAAAGATTTTTCCTATATATTCCTATGTAAAACTTTGATCGGCCATTTTGGCCCCACCCTACCACCTGGGGTCATGACTTGAACAAACTTGAATCTACACTACCTGAGGATGATTCCACATGAGTTTCACCTTTCCTGGCCCAGTGGTTCCTGAGAAGAAGATTTTTAAAGATTTTTCCTATATATTCCTATGCAAAACTTTGATCGGCCATTTTGGCCCCGCCCTACCACCTGGGGTCATGACTTGAACAAAGTTGAATCTACACTACCTGAGGATGATTCCACATGAGTTTCATCTTTCTTGGCCCAGTGGTTCTTGAGAAGAAGATTTTTTAAAACATACCATCAAATTTTCATTATTTCTTAATTATCTCCCCTTGAATAAGGGCGTGGCCCTTCATTTGAACAAATTTGAATTCCTTTCACCTAAGGATACTTTATGCCAAGTTTGGTTGAAATTGGCCCAGTGGTTCTTGAGAAGAAGATGAAAATGTGAAAAGTTTATGACAACGACGACGACAACAACGACAGACAACGGACAAATTTTGATCAGAAAAGCTCACTTGAGCCTTTGGCTCAGGTGAGCTAATGATTCTCATTTAGGATAAACGTTTCATAGGTCTAAAGCTTCAAAATTCAATAAGGCAGATAGGTTCTGAAAATAGGGAAAACTTAATTATTTCCTTTTTAGTATGTCAATTACATTTATCAATGCAATAAATTTTGATCTGATGTGGTGGTCCTTTTAGGCCATGCATATAATAATTAAAATACATGTACTACCTCTGTGTGTCCATCCCCCGTAAATGGAGCCTTCCTGACAACACACTTCTTCACCAACCTTATCATCGAACTTCCTCTCCATATTCAGCACCAGAATGAAGAACGCCCGCGGACTCAGAAAAATCTGGTGTGAGGCATAATATGAACACTGTCCTGCAAAGTCAGTCATGGTTATTTTTTTATCTGGATCTTCTGAAATATCTTCTGCACCTATCTGTAAATTTCCAAATATTTCTGGACTATGACGAATATCTTTTCTTTCCTTCATAACATCTGCTACATTTTCTGGTGATGTGGCCACCTGTGGTTCATGGGATGAAGTTGTTTTAATGTTGGTATCATCATGTGATATATCTGTCCACTGCTTGATGCTTCAGTCGTATTGCCCTCATCATCAGGTGTTTCCATCTTTTCCTGTATTTTCTCATCATCAGCTGCATTTTCTGAATGGTAATCAGGAACACTCTGCTTCATATCTTTTTTATCAAGTCTGAGTTTAAAGTGTTGCTTTTGGCTTGAAGTATTTGCTGCAAATGAAAATTAATGCACATTTAACACCTTCTCACTTTGTTGTTTCTGTACTTTAAGTAAACAGACTATTATTCTACTTTATATAAATCTGCAACTTAAAAAATAAATTCTAGGGACAATGAGAGTATTGAACTCCCAAAATGATATCCACAGGCAGGTTCCAGATGAGTATTATGGTGAATTCTTTGTTTTACTATTGAAGAACTAAATATCTGTCCAATCTTAACATAAAGAAGGATGTAGGAATGGCATAAATTTTATTTTATAGTAAATATAGTAAATATTATGTAAAAGTGTCATTTAACTTTATTCATTTGTACAGGTGGAATCGAAAATATGAGATGGGTACCACCAATATAATGGTAGTTTCTATGTTTTGCATTAGGAAACCATAAACATGTGTCCATTCAAAGAGTAAAACAGAAGGTTTAAAATTTCTCTGTATAACAAAGATTCTGTGAAAGTTTCATTAATTTTATTAAGTAGTAACAATTTTTATTCAGTGGTTAAGCGGTAATGAGGAGTTGCAGATAAGAGATGGATACCCCAAAACGTAATAAATGGACAGATGGAAGGATGGATAGGAGGAGACCCTCAACGCTCTTACACACCCTACTTTCCAAGAAGATAAAAAGGGGATATGGTGCTTCCACATACAATTCAGCTTGTCTTGCCCTGTGGTTCTTGAGAAGATTTTTTAATGACTCCACCCTATTTGTGTCTTTTCTTGTTTGTCTCACCGTGTGAGAGGACTTGGTCCGTCATTTTAAGAATTGAAAATCCTCTTCACCCAAGGATGCTATGTACCAAGTTTGGTTAAAATTGGCCAAGTCGCTTTTGAGGAGAAGTCAAAAATGTGAAAAATTACAAACAGACAGACAGGTAGTCGAGCAATGGACAAAATGTGATCAGCCATCAGCTCAGGTGAGCTAAAACTACCTTGGATGCTTTCTGTCACATCAAAGACATCTGAGTGGATATCGATTCCTCTAGTTGACCTGATGTTTTTCTTTATTTCTTCAAGGTCAATGCCCTTCAGTCTCTCTAACAATGTGGTTTTCCCACTACCAGCACACCCTATTATCATCCCAGAGGCATGGTACATGGTTTTCTTCCCTTTCTTTAAATTCTCAATGAAATTCGTCACTGATTTGTCTCCCCTTAGGATAATCTGCATTGGTATTCCTACTATAATGACAAAACTCTAACATTAGAAAGCTGCGACGGAGTCAAACTCATGTTGACAAACAATCATGGCTAGAAGCCTCTGATGAGGCTGTACTCTACTGGTTTGTACTTATAACAAAGGAAAAGAAGAGTAGCACTTGGACATGAAAATTTACAACTGCAATAAATAGGGTCTTTGGTTTAGTCTTTTTTTGTAGCTATATTTATTGCAATCAGATTAAGATTGTAAAAAGAGTAATGTAACCTTTTAAAAGATTTTAAAGAAATTTTAATTTAAGTAACCATAGCAACTTCATTCAACAATATCCAAAAAATAATTTTAAATGAATTATGTATCTCAGTGTAATCTATTTGCATGTCAAGTTACATTGAAACTAAAGCAAAACTATAGGACAAGCGTTTTGAATGTATTTCACAGAAATTTCTATTTTTGGTAACCACAGCATAAACTTTATCTAATTAAATAGTTAAGGTGAGATAGAAATAGACCTACATTTCCTAAATACAGCTTCATGGAATGACTGGTCCTCCATTGTTGGGTTCATGAAAATATTTTCTCCAAGTCTTTTTAAAAACTCCTCATTTTTTTCTGGCAGCAACCAACAGCAAACTTCATCCTCTCCTCTCTGATAATTCCAGGATCTACAGAACTCAGAAATATTTTCTTTTTCTGCCCAAGTCAAGAAAATATCAGTAAAGTTCAATCCAAAACGCTTTGAAATTTTCAGGAAAGTAATGTACTTGAACAGCTCAGTGGAAAAACTGATCTCTGATTCATTGAGTTTCAGAATTGGTTTGTAATTTTCCAAATCTGTAAGAACAAATGGCTTTGTGATTTTCTTTGAGTGAAAAGTTTTGGCAACAGCATTATATTTGGTAATCCAATTTCCTTCTTTCATGTTTATTTTGTAGGAATTGGAAATAAGAAGGCACATCAATAGTGTATCTCCACCTACAAAAAAAAACAAGGAATATATACATATATACAAGCCCAGAAAACACCTTGAATGTATTAACTTCTCTGGCTATTAAAATGTTATACAGAATGGAGTAATCTTCCCATAAATTTATATCAGTATTAAACAAATAACAGGTCTCCTTACATTGATGTAAATGTTTCAGAAAGGGATGTAAGTGTGTCATGGACATCCACATAACACAGTTAACCCTATGTACAAAAATTCCTTTATATGTATAATCATGATAATTGTGTAAATTAGTAAAACCGTCCATCACATTAAATGAATATTATGGCTGATACACTTCATTCAAGAATTTGATTGAGGTGATTTGCGGCCTTGAACTTGCTAAAGTGACCTTGGGTAAAGGTCGACACATATCATCAATGTATCCAGTATATGCTAGTTTTTAGTTCCGTGTTTTCCGATTATGTAGCTTCAGACAGAAGATTATCTCTTTTTTGTTTGGATCAGGTAAATAAAGACCATTGTTATAAATAATTTATTGATAATTGGAACAAAATTGGATCAAATATTTAAAATATATTCCATTTGCTACATACATAAAATATTTAACATGTTTAAGAAACTACTTAAACTATTACCATCTATCCTGTGAATGTTGTCAAACAATGTCTCTATATTTCTAAGTTGATGTCTGCTGTGATCCTTAGATCTGGTACACTTTACACACAAGGGAACACCACACGGGGTACAGAACTGGTCCAGGGGAATTCTGGGATGTTTTCTACATTTGATGTCCTCCAGAGGGAGTCCTGTTAAAAATTAAAAAAAATACTATATTGTAAATACTTTTAAAAAATCCTGATTAATCTTCACAAAACAATGTCATTTTGGTACTCATATATAAAACAAGAGGCCAAAGGGCCTTGAATCGCTCTTCTGATAAATTGTACAATCTATCACTTCTATTTGAAGCCTCCAACCCTAAGTATCCTAAGACCCAAGTTGCATCAACTGACAAAGTTTGATGATTCTTAGTCAATTAGGACTGAAAATCTTTTTAATTATAAAGCTATAAAAACCATAAGTATATCACAGTGACCTATATTAAGACTGAAGTTTTCTGAGGACTCAAGATGCATTGAAAAACAAAGATTGAAGATTCTCAGCCAATTAGTATTTAAATATTCAAAAGTAGGTCATCGTGACCTACTTCTTTGTCTACATTCTTTGAAAACCCAAGATACATCAACTGACAAAGTTTGATGATTCTAAGTCAATTAGGACTGAAAATCTTTTTAATTATAAAGCTATAAAAACCATAAGTATATCACAGTGACCTATATTAAGACTGAAGTTTTCTGAGGACTCAAGATGCATTGAAAAACAAAGATTGAAGATTCTCAGCCAATTAGTATTTAAATATTCAAAAGTAGGTCATCGTGACCTACTTCTTTGTCTACATTCTTTGAAAACCCAAGATACATCAACTGACAAAGTTTGATGATTCTAAGGCAATAAGTCCTTGAGATATTCAAAAGTAGGTCACCATGACCTACTTTTTGGTCGTCCCTCTACGAAAACCCAAGATGCATCAACTTACAAAATTTGATGATTCTAAGCCAATAAGTACCGAAGATACTTAAATAAAGCCATAAAATGTCAGAAGAAGATCACCGTGACGTACTTTTTGGTCGTCCCTCTCCGAAAACCCAAGATGCATCAACTTACAAAGTTTGATGATTCTAAGCCAATAAGTACCAAAGATACTTAAATAAAGCCATAAAATGTCAAAAGTAGGTCACCGTGACCTACTTTTTGGTCGTCCCTCTCCGAAAACCCAAGATGCATCAACTTACAAAGTTTGATGATTCTAAGCCAATAAATATCAAAGATACTTAAATAAAGCCATAAAATGTTGAAAGTAGGTCACAGCGACCTTCTTTTTGGACATCATTCCTCAAAAAATAAAAGATGCATCAACTGACAAAGTTTGATGATTCTAAGTCAATTAGGACTGAAAATCTTTTTAATTATAAAGCTATAAAAACCATAAGTATATCACAGTGACCTATATTAAGACTGAAGTTTTCTGAGGACTCAAGATGCATTGAAAAACAAAGATTGAAGATTCTCAGCCAATTAGTATTTAAATATTCAAAAGTAGGTCATCGTGACCTACTTCTTTGTCTACATTCTTTGAAAACCCAAGATACATCAACTGACAAAGTTTGATGATTCTAAGGCAATAAGTCCTTGAGATATTCAAAAGTAGGTCATCATGACCTACTTTTTGGTCTTCATTCTCTAAAAACCAAAGATGCATCAACAAACAAAATTAAACCAGTTAGTACCATAGATACTTAAATATTTCCATTTCTAATTTTTTTCGCTGCGATAACTCTTTGAAAGTTGTCGGAGTTTATTTCTTGATAATTCTGCCGGAATGTAAATTAGGCAGGTCGTTAGGTCAGGAGCTAAGGTGGCCTAAAATGCATGCAAATCTCGTGTGCATCTGTCTCTGTGTCTGACGCTAAGGAGGAAAATGTGCAAGTAAATCTCGTGCGGCTGCCTAGGTATTTGACGTCAGTGTGCGAGGACTACTGAAATTGGCATGGCAGTCCTGGTGTAATTTAAACCTATTAGTCTACATTTTTAATGTCAAAGTCTATAATTTTATTTCACAATGAAATGGAAATATAAGGAATCACTGTCTAGTTTTGAGAGTATGCCAGGGACACCAACAATAGTGGGAAACATGGAATAATTTTAGCATAACGGGCTTCGCCCGTTATGCAAATTATTCCATGTTTCCCACTATTGTTGATCCCCTGGCATACTCTCAAAACTAGACAGTGATTCCTTAAATAAAGCCATAAAATGTCAAAAATTAGGTCACCATGACCTACTTTTTGAACATCATTCTCTGGAAACCCAAGATGCATCAACTTACAAAATTTGATGATTCTAAGCCAATAAGTACCAAAGATACTTAAATAAAGCCATAAAATGTCAAAAGTAGGTCACCGTGACCTACTTTTTGGTCGTCCCTCTCCGAAAACCCAAGATGCATCAACTTACAAAGTTTGATGATTCTAAGCCAATAAGTACCAAAGATACTTAAATAAAGCCATAAAATGTCAAAAGTAGGTCACCGTGACCTACTTTTTGGTCGTCCCTCTACGAAAACCCAAGATGCATCAACTTACAAAATTTGATGATTCTAAGCCAATAAGTACCAAAGATACTTAAATAAAGCCATAAAATGTCAAAAGTAGATCACTGTGACGTACTTTTTGGTCGTCCCTCTCCGAAAACCCAAGATGCATCAACTTACAAAGTTTGATGATTCTAAGCCAATAAGTACCAAAGATACTTAAATAAAGCCATAAAATGTCAAAAGTAGGTCACCGTGACCTACTTTTTGGTCGTCCCTCTCCGAAAACCCAAGATGCATCAACTTACAAAGTTTGATGATTCTTAGCCAATAAGTACCAAAGATACTTAAATAAAGCCATAAAATGTTGAAAGTAGGTCACAGCGACCTTCTTTTTGGACATCATTCCTCAAAAAATAAAAGATGCATCAACTTACAAAGTTTGATGATTCTAAGCCAATAAGTACCGTAGATATTTAAATAAAGCCATAAAATGTCAAAAGTAGGTCACCGGTCGTTACTCTCCGAAGACCCAAGATGCATCAACTCACAAAGTTTGATGATTCTAAGCCAATAAATATCTAAGATACTTAAATAAAGCCATAAAATGTTGAAACTAGGTCACCGTGACCTGTATTTTGGTCGAAATTTTTCAAAGTCACAAGATGCATCTGCCTACCAAGTATGATGATCCAAGGTCTGAATGTTATCAAAATATGCCTTTTAAACAATTCAAAAACAAATACCTGCAAAATTCAGAAAGTAGGTCACAGTAACCTACTTTTTTATAAATATGTTTTAAGGTCCCAAGATGTATCAATTTACAAGATTTGATGATTCTAAACCTCTCAGTGTCTGAAATAATTGGATTAAATGTTTCAAGCTGACATTGTTCAAGGACCCAAGATGCATCAAACTGACAAAGTTTGATGATCATAGGCCTTAAAGTGCCCGAAATATGCCTTCCAATCAATTTGAAAACAAAATTTAAAAAGTAGGTCACCGTGACCTACTTTTGAGTTTACATGATGTGAAGTCCTGAGATGTATCAACTTACAAGATTTGATGATCCTAGTCCTAATAGTAAGCAAAATATAAATGTTTTAATTATTTGTAAATTTAGGTCAACTTTGAAGTGACCTTGAGACCATGGTCTTTGCCCCAAGGTCATGCATTGAACAATTTATTTAATCTTCAACATACTGATCCTTGTATGTAAGTTTGGTGAAAATCTGCCTGGTGGTTCTGGAGAAGAAGATTTTTTAGCAACCAGTACTTTTGGTTTTGTTTTCCTGATTATCTCCCCTTGTTTAAGGATCCCAACCCTTATTTTAGTATAAAGGGTAGCCCTTGGGCCATGGATACCCTTTGACAAATTTGACACTGATTGGCCAAGGGGTTCTCGAGTTATGGCCCATATTCTAAAAAGTTAATGCACACCGCACCACGCACAAATGGCCATAGCATTAGCTCTTTGAGCCTATGGCTCAGAAGAGCTTAAAAGTCAAGATATTTATGATATTGGAGTAGTTAAAATGTTTTGAGTCCAAAAAATTTTAGAATCAAATTTTGATATTTACATTCATTAGAAAAACCATTTGTGATTTTAATTATGCCAATAAATACTAAGGGAGAAATTTTGTTCTGATAAAACATCGTTGATTTATGATCTCAAATGATTATGTATGGGGATTTCTTGTTTCCAATATTATTATCATTATAACAATATAAAAATATCATAATGGATTAAAGATCATTGATGACTCAGCTATCAATGATAAATGCATCCTCCACAATTATTTCTTCTTCAAAATATGTGTAATTTTATAGGGGCTCTTTTAGTATGACTACAAGATCATGTTCTTTAACTTGACAGCATAGTGTACCTTGGGTCTCAAATCACCTCAGATCAAATCAGATGACCCTTTTATTTATCATATAGTTGACCAATCAATGTTAAGCTGCTTTTTTCCATAAAACTACATAATCAACAAATTCTGCATCAAAATGTCTTTTGCTAAGTACTGATGACCTTAACTATACTCACATGACCTTTGTTTAGAGTTATAATATGCCTTCCTAAGGCCTAACTCCACTGGAAATTCACTGAATACAAACATATATATGTGGTTGGATGTAAATTATAAATGAAAACAATCCAAAAAATTTTCTTATAAATTGAAATAGGTCAGATGAGTTCGCAATAATGAAAAAATCCTGACATAACTTGAAATAGTACAGCCATATATTACCGCCCCCCCCTTCACTAAGCCTCAACACTTAGTTCAGTGACCGTGTAAACCACAGAAATCAACCCTACATATATCTCTGTCAGTGACCTCCAATGCTTATTACAGGGTAAAAATGAAAACATTTTCAGTGCATTATCATCTAAGGGCTTCCAGTCTCTTAAATTCATGTGGTTGGGATACATAGGGTTACAAATTGACAGAATAAATCTAATGATAAATATACAAGTATTTCCTCCTTTACCATATCTTGTACTTACATTTGATACAGGAAGTGATAATGAAATTATACTTTTAGTTTCATTGATCTACTTTTTCGAAACAAAGCGGGAGATTAAGTTGTTCTTAACAGGAATTGTTTTAAAACTTTTATAATGAAAAGGGGGGTAACTTTATTTTTTTTCTTTACCTTCAAGTACAAAATTGAATTGTCTCCCTTTCATTAGCAAGTTACTAAAATTATTCAATGCAGTTGCATGCATACTTATTCTATAGTGTCTAAGAAATAATTTTTTTTGTTCATTAAAATGAAATGAATCTTAAGCATCAGTGTGGACTTGAAGCTTGAATAATGTTGGTTATCTCGGATCTCCATATTTCATTAGACATCTAGAAGTTTCTCCTACAAAAAATGTCACCCCAGTACACAGTGTAGATTTACTGAACACCTGCTACAGAAATACACAACATTCCTAGACAGAGCTGTGTTAATATCAATGGTGTCAATATCTAACTGCCAACATCAGTACAAATTGTCATCTCTTCTAATTGTAGCATTACTTAAACTGAATACATTATATAGGACTTAAAAGTTTTTTTAAAAAATTTCATCGGCTATTTCTCAAAACTGATCATACTACACCAAATGTATTTATCGAACAAAACAGCACAAAATTTCAAAAGTTGATTATTACCCCAATGACAGTATATGATGTATACGTATATCTATAATTCAAAACCTATCTGTCAAACAAATATATAGATGTATGAATGTACCATAAGTTGGTTCTGATAAAAATTTACAGAAAAGTTTGACATAAGATTCAGTGTATACATGTATGAATCAGTGATTGAAGAGTTGCACACTACATCTTACAATTAATTACAGACTGGATGTAAATCTATTATTTCTTTTTAATCTATTTATCATATTTGTAGTCATAAACTTCATCTTTAACAATTTATATAAATTGTTGTTTACACAATCCATTACATTTGTAAATAAACACTTGAATACATTCATGTAAAGTTAGTCTTAAATGACCTCTCTATTATAATACAGTTATTTAGTATTGGTATTATAGTTATACAATACAATAGAACAGACTACAGTGTTACTTACCAGTCAGAGAGTCTGTATCTACCACTCTGTATAGGTTGACTGTGTTGTTGTTTTTGGCTGCCCCTACCCACAGTAGGTGTGTGTCCTCATCATAACTCAGGCCGCATGGTATGTATATCCCGTGTTGTCGTGTCTTTATCTCTGTCAGATAGTGACCCTCACTATCTAACATCTGTACTGACTCGGTGCTAAAATCACACAGCAGGATGTGTGACAGCGCGTCAGTACAGATTCCATGTGGATATAGTCGTGATCCTGATGGAGGACCTGTGTAGGAGAATCGGTAATTACCGTCACGATCTGTCACCACTACAGCATGACGGAGCCCGTCAGACACAATTACATCTCCATTGCGGTTCTCTGTGATGTGGATAGGTAGTCTATACAGTCCCTGACCTGTGTTGTTGTGGTGCTGTATGGTCTGGATGTTTTCTCCTGTGGAGTTATACCGCTCTACCTTGCCTGTATATGGATAACGTCTATACATCCCGACCAGCAGGTCTCCAGTGGAGGGGGAGCTGTAGACACACAGTGGTTCCCATGGTGACGTGTTGTACTTTATTATCGTAGTCTTCACTCTGTTCTCTGTAGACAGTCTATTGATATTATATTCCCTGTCTATATAAATTAAATCACCGTTCGAATTCACAGTGTGTCCTCCCCAAACACTACCTATATCTGTCATGTGATCTAGTTCTTCCCCTTTAGTGTTTGTCAGTATAAGATTGCCTCTATTACCACTGATCCAGACCCGGTCTGATGTAACACGTGAAATGTGACTACACTCTCTAACACCAGACACGGTGACATATTTCTGGTACACTCCTCTATACATTATTTACAGCAGACATCTATTTCTTTATCCTGATGTTTTATAACAGAATCCCGTGTGGATTTCCTCAGTCAGGGAGATCTCTCTGTAAATTACAACATTGTAACAGAATTATCTACATCAGTTACATGCTTCTATTTACAGTGTACTCAGTGAATAACATGTATTTATAATATCAGATTGATTTTCAGAACTTAAAGCACACAATAATATTAAGACACAGACACACATAAATACCTTTATACTTAGTGCTGAATTCTTTCTTTTCTTTGTATAGCAAGGTCCTAGTATTCACGGTGAAGTCTGCTTTAAAATCAAAATTTAAAGATTAAAACAATGAAAAAAAAATTAGAGAAGACATTCAAAATTCTTCTGCAGTGCATGAAATAAAATATTTGAAATGTAAACTTGATTTCAATTAGTTCCAGTTGTTTATAAAAAAAAAACTTTATTTACAAATTGTATAAAATCTTAATAACCTTTACTTTAAATGAATATATATTACAGTTTTAAAAAAACTTTTCTTTTATTTCAAATATCCATTTATAAAGTAACAACAATGTGCAGCATTAAATGTAGATATTTGTGATGATGTACCACATTTTATAGATAGGTATAATCTACAGTGTGTTGGTACACCGTTATATAAAGTAACAGAGAAATGTATACCACACTGATCATTTCTTCTGTCTTGTAACAACGGCAAGGTTTCTATTCCTCTTGGTTTGTGTCCTTATGCCCTGGTGAAAGAAAAAAAAAACATTTTATTTATCATTCTAAAGAAACATGTATTCAATGAATTGACTTTATTTCATCTTCATTTTGATATAAAAGTCTTGCATTATCTCTTAGAGTCAAAGGACATTATTCCTTCCTTATGCCTTCCACATTGAATTTTGAAAATTTTGACCTGAGAAACAAAAAATAATTTTTCTGGCCTTACTTTTAAAGTTTATGAAGATTAACATGTGGTAAACAAACCTGTATGGAGGTGACATTTTTCTTCCCTTAAAAACTACAGCACATCCTGGGAAATCTGTAAAAACAAATTCAGAATCACTGATATATCCAAGTATAGATTCAAAATGGATCTAACATTTAGTGTGTGATTTAAATATAACTTTGGGACATATATGTTTGCTATTTACAGCTATATATACGAGTATAGAATGTACGATGGACTTGTAAAACAGTGCAAGTGAACATGCAAAGTTACCAAATCATGATTTTCTATTTTGATGTTACGTATAGTATTTTTTTTTTTGGGGGGGGGGGGGTCACTTTCAAAATTCTTTACGTAAAATTCATGAAATATTTCCTTAAAAAAACAGCACATCCTTGGAAATTTGTAACAGCAACTTCTGAATCACCTATACATAGGAATATAGAATATATAATGGACTTGTATAACAGTGCAGGTGTACATGCATAAGTACTAATAATGATTTTCTATTTTAATGTTACATTATGTTTTGTTTTTTTTTTCACTTTCAAAATTCTTTAAATAAAATTCATGAAATATTCCGGCAGTTAAGTTTTAAGTACCATGTACATGTACTCATTATAGCCTCATGAACTTCTAGAATTGGAAAACATGATTACATTAACCTTTTAATGATATAGAGTAATTAAAATATAAACCTGTACAATGGAAAAACCATCATCTTCTTTTCCAAAGTTGCACTCTACATCTTGTGGAATCTATCAAAATAATTAAATGATTTATTCCATGATAACTCTTACGTTAAGAATATCTTCGAAGGCGTACATCAAAAGTTTCACATAACATACAACCTTATTACGTGCTTTGTTAATTAGGCCTATGTAAAAATTACTCACAAACCTAAAACCGAAGAAGGCTAAAATATTTCATTTTTTCATTTACATGAAACTTTTAACGTTATTACATATAATGAAAATATATAGAATCCATTAGTTAGTTGAACTCTTCTACCTTAATATATTTTAAATCTTAACAAGAGGCCCATGGGCCACATTGCTCACCTGAGCACATTGGCTGGGAAATAAAGCAGAAATCATTTCAGTATTGAGAAGTTTACAGGGGGGGGGGTGTCTGGAATTTTAAAGTACCAACTACCTGATGATAACAAATGCTTTTGATGTTTCTGAGCAGATTATTGTTTTTTCTTATTTATTCATTTGACCCCCCACCAATGTGGCCCAACCTTACCCCTGGAAGCCCTCATTTGAACCAGTATGACGTTGTACTACCTGAAAATGCCTTCATATTAATATGATTAAACATGTTTTTTCTGTTCTTAGAAAAAAAAAATTTCCTCAATATTTCTAGGCAAAACTTTGATCCCCAATTGTGGCCCAACCTATCTATCCCCTACTGCCCGTTCATGACTTGAGCAAACTTGAATCAACACTACTTGAGGATGCTTACATAAAGATATAACCAATCATGGCTTTGTGGTTCTTAAAAATAAGAGTTAAAAAAATTTACAATGTATTCATTCATATGGAAAAATTTAATCATCCATGGTGGCCCTTAACCCTTAATGAAGAGAGCTAGAGCTGGTGTACAAAATCTAACCTGCCTGTAGCCAGACAAACTAAATAAAGAGCTGACAACAAATTTTACTCAACATCTGCCGAGTGCCCCCTTTTTGTGAGTACCATTTTTGCACAGATTTTCCATTCTTTCCAACCTAAATGCAAGGCATAATTCCTTCAGACTAGGCTACATGAAACATACAATAAGCCAATTAAAACTGAAACCTACCCCGGGGGCCATGATTTCAACAATTTAGAATCTACACTACTTACTATAAATATCTGCGCTCGCCAACATGTTTACATGTAATTATGCCTAGAATCTGTGTTTAAGTTCATTACTTAATGTACAAGAAAAACCTAAACATCGAAAAAACTGTTTATTTATTGCACACTTTTTTGTGCGCAATAAATATACAGTTTTTTCACTGGGTGGCACTGTAGCTCTCCGGTCTATCAATATATTTTTTTTTTTCAGAGAGCTACAGATCTGCAGCTATGAGAAATCAAGCTACTGTATATCACACACACTGTCGGGTATCCGCGGATTGTGACATGTTTGGATGCGGTGAAAATGGCGTAAAATGTACAAACGGGGAATACTGTGTACCTTTTCAAGGTCTATATTTTGGTAAATATTAATATTTTTCTCAATTTTTTATTTAAATTCGATAGGTATCTGGTTAAATTTAAATGATGTGTTTCAATTCTGTTTATAAAGTTCATTAAATAACTCGTTGGTGCACTTTTTTATCGATGCACTTGACATTCATACCCCTTTAGCAAGTTTTAAATCGTGATTGTTAAAAATATATCAAATATATTTAAAATCTGAAGCAGCCAAAAGAAAGAAAAATCATTTTACATTTAAGGTATCAAAAGTGTTATTTATGTCCCATACAAGAAATGTATTTCAAAACAGTTTTATTTTATGTACCCATAACAAATATAGTACGGTTTGGATGAACATGATGAAGGGAGTGTTCTGGTTTGGATGCAAATTCAACATCTATATGTTACGGTTTGGACCGTCATAAAAATTTTTCTCAGGCACATAAGAAGTCGCCTTTCCCTTCTATATACATTGTTTTTACAGTTGATTTCATATAAGAATGTTGAATCCCTTTTTCTCCGCATGATTTTAAGGAAAGTTTTCGATGCTACGTGTCTGATTACATAAAATAAATGTAAAATATGTTAAACAACATGAAAAAAAAATCGTAAAATGCATATTCCATCAACAGTCCCGTCCCATTTATAAGGTAGATTATCCCACGTTTCCAACTTTTGTTGGTGCTCTTGCATCGAGGCGCACTGGTTAGAGCGTCTGCTCTCGAGTCGCCGCGAAGTAAGGAGTAATCCTTACGTCGCGGGTTCGAATCCAACTGTGGGAGAGAACGGTCCTTCGAATAAGACAATATAAGGCGAGGTCCCGTGTCGCAGTACGTGCTGGCTCGAAAAATATCCGTCACTGCTCAATGACCCTGAGTGCCGAGTATAGGACATGTAGATGGTGCTCACAGCTGTATTGAGCGACTGATCGTGTAATGCCGGATCCCACTTTGCAGAGATTTTAAACTTGTAATAAGCTCTGTATATTGATTGCATATGTTATATTCTCCCTCACTATGTCCATTCAAATGTAAAATATTGAAAGTTTGAGAATAATAAGAAAAGAACTCTATATTACATACGCATTGAATCCGAGTGGGGGGGGGGGGTATCATTAAATAGGCATGCATTGAACATTGGGGCGTTGGTTAACCCCCGCCCCCCTTTTCAACAGGCATATAATCAAAAAAGGGTAAGCAGTATATAGTGTTTGAAAAAATGGTAGAGAACGAAATTAACCCCCCCCCCCTCTTGCTGTGGTACTTGTTCATTGAAAGGAATGTAAACCTACTCTATTTTTTGCGGGGTTGCAGTACAGTCAAGCTATCATTTTATAGTATTTGTTTGTGATTCCCCCCTTTTTTTCGAAATATGGTTTATGAACTCCTGATTTGTTACCATTTATTTTTTCGTAAAAGATGTTTCTGGGTAAGTTTTCAAACAATTTATCTGGAAACCCCACCCCTTCATTTAAAAGTGTTAAAACTGATATTTTATACCATAATGTTAAGTATGATTTATAACAAAGAATCTCATCCAAACCGTATCAGAACTTCATCCAAACCGTACACAATTTTGTAAACACTAGCATCCAAACATGTTACGTTGTTCTATAGCATGTCACCATCGGAACAGTTTCTTTGCATTAAATTTGTAGATTAATGGCAGAGCTACAGGATAAATAATTACTTTTAAACACAGACTGTCTCTTAGTTGTAAAATTACATACTACAGATTCCATTTAATAAGACTAAATCCTTCCGATGAGTCGAAGCGGTTGATTGACTCCGCCATTTGCACTGCATCCAGGCCAAAATAAAATTATAGTTTGTTTGGAATTGCCTCCCGCCTCATTGAAATGCCCCCTCCTGAAAAAATTTTATTGACCAAAAGTAGGAAGTTTTTTTTTTATTTAATCAATTTTTTTGCCCATTACATTTATCACATGTCAGACCTATGTAAAATTAGGTATTATTGTTGATGGTAGATACTTTTTTCTTAAGTATAAGGATGGCCCCAAACATGTCACAACCGGCGCGGATACCCGACAGTGACACAGGCGTTTGTTTTAACTTTCATGCAGTAGGCAAGTTTTCTACTACACAATAACAATGTGTTATAATGTTATTGTACATGTTGTATAGGCCTAGGAGAAAACTCTCGAACTGTATGAAACAATCAAGAGAGATTGAGTCTGACCTGATTATGATGAGGAAGTGTGGAAACTCGGAGATAAATCCTTTGTTCATGACATATTCATTTTGGCAAACAAAGCGAAACATATCATAAAATTAATTTAGTATTAGTAAGCCTAAGATTATGGATTTATCATTACCAGATAGTCGGAGTACTGAGTAGATCTAGATCTAGTATTTCGGTGGCACACCCATAATCGTTTGTTACGTCTGCGCGTAGACGGTGTATATTGAATTCGTTCTCATGTAGCTTACCAATCTCTCACCAGAGGGCGTCTTACGCGCCCTCTGGTGAGAGATTGGTAGCTTACAATAATGAACCGGTTCGGTGATCGCTCAGTATTCCAATGGGTGCAAAATGTTTCGGGACCCCGACATTTCGGGACCTAGGTAATACGACGATTCGGGACTAGCAATAAGACGACAGGGGCGTAGCAACAAGGGGGGGGGGGGGGGGAAGGGGGGCCTGGCCCCCCACTTTTTTTCCCAACCTTACTTATACTATAGGAAATGTTAATTGAAAGCCAGGTTGGCCCCCTCTCTTTTAGACTTCAAGTGATGTACCGAAAATGTAGGATTGGAATTGGTACTAAAAGTAGTGAAAACTGAGAAAAAAAATTTACATACCCCCCCCCCCCCAACATCACCCACTAGTTCGACGGCCAGATAATGTGTGTCACATATAGGCCTAACTAATTCCGTCAGCAGAAAACAGGAAGTATTACCCCTTGTCTGTGCACAATGAATATATCATTAACATAATATTTACATATCTTTACGTCACGCGCGGATCTAAAGGGGGGGGAGGCATTCAAAAAAGTAAAATATGACATTGCACCCTCTAGAAATACACTCCCTTGAAAACGTGGATCTGTGTTAAGGAGGGACAGGACCTTTCGCTGAAAAAAAATGCTGTCAGTGAATTTTTTTCCCGTATTTTTTATACTACTAGTACTTAACATTTTAAAACGGAAAGTTTAAAATAGTGAAGAATTATCACCCCCATAAAACATGTAAATTAGGTTAATTTTGTTTTGGGTTTTTATGTAAACGAAGTTTCGGGGGCATATAGGTTTTGTCGTCTCCGTCTATCTGTCTGTCTGTCTCTCTGTTTGTCTCTCTGTCTCTCTGTTTGTCCGCAAAAACTTTAACCTTGCCCATAACTTTTGATTTAGTAAAGCTATGACTCTCATATTTCACATGTGTATTCCTTGTGACAAGACCTTTCTTTGGGTACCACCAAGTTTGACCTTTTGACCTTGACCTTGGAGTTTGACCAACTTTTACATGAAAATTTTAAAATTTTGCTTTGGCCATATCTTTTGAACAGTGAACACCAGGACATTTATACTTAACATATTTAATGTTTGTTAAAAGACCTTTCACTGGACACCAACAACCTTGACTCTTTGACCTTGACCTTGTAGATTTCCGTACTTGTGAAAAAACTTTCACCTTGGCCATAACTTTTAAATGGTAAAGGATAGGGCTTTCATACTTCATATATGTAATCCTTGTGAGAAGACCCTTAATTGGATACCAAGAACTTTGACCTTGACCTTTGAGATTGACCTACTTTAAAAAAGCAAACATTTACCATAACTTTTAAGAGTTAAGGCTAGTGCTTGCATACTTTACATATTTGATCCTTATGACAAATCTTTCATTTGATAACAATAACTTTGACCCTTTGACCTTGACCTTGGAGTTTGAACTACTTTTTAAGAAATTGAAAGTCGACCATGACTTATGCTCTACATAAGTATTTTATGTGGCAAGACCTTTCATTTAATTGATACTAAATACATTGACCTTTTGACCTTTACCTTGGAGATTTTAGTAATTATTAAAAAACTTAAACATTAGCTTACTTTTAAATTTCACAAATGTTTTCCAGTGAGAATACCCTACTTTTGACCAGTATCAATTAATTAAATTTGCATTTAAGAAAAGCTTAATCTTTGCTATGTTGCCATACGGGGGCATCAGTGTTTTAAAAACACATCTTGTTTTTTTTATGTCCCCGTAATCAAAGTATCGGGGTATGTAGCTTTTAAATATTTTTGTTTATTCCTCAGATAATTTGATTGTTTGGTCCCCTTTTTAAAAACGATAGCTACGTTCCCTGGTTGTATGGCAGGAAATATTTCAGTATTAATTCTTAAGTTCTATATCAGCTGTGTGAGATAATAATACGATATAAGTTGTAGATATATCAGGCACGTAGCATCGTTTTTGAAAGTTGGGGGGGGGCAACCAGAGAAAAAAATTTTTGAACTTACCTGAAAAAAGTTGACAAGCAAAAAAAAAAAAAAAAGGAAATTAAAACATTGCCCAAACTCGAAAATCCTATTTCGGGGGGGGGGGGGGGGGCGACCATATTTTCAATTGACAGTTTCTATAGTAAAGGTTATGTTGGGGAAAAAAGTGGGGGGGGGGCAGCCCCCCCACCCCACCCCACCCCCCGTTGCTACGTGCCTGATATGATGTATGTTACCGATATTTACGCTCAAATAAAAAAAATTACCGATTTGAAATTGAATAACCTAAGCTAATAAGCTAATTAAATTAAGGTTTCTGCAGACGAATTGCCTCTTTTATATCTATAAAACGCGATTGGTTTTAATTGTTTGATTTACAGAGAAGTCCTATCTTAATAAATTGCTTTAAACATGTTAAACAAATAGAAAAATCTTTTTAATTTGTAAATTTAAGCAAATGAAAATTATCCGTTTCCTTTGAGTGTATAATTTCTTATAATTTTCTTTTGAAACAGCCCCCACCATCCCGGCGACTGTAATGTTCAAAATGCTATTTTCTGGCAGGTCATAGTTGACAAACAAATAGATGGAAGACAGACAAAACATACACACGCACTCTTATGGGCTGGACCTTTCGACCCAGGGAAATGAAAAGTTGAAGTTTTTGTTTCAACTCTCTCGCTAATTGTTACACTTTTATTAGGGTCGATTTGGGCGGTTTTTCGTAATTTCTTTGAAATAATGTTTCATATAGGATTTTCAATAATTCTGCCTCTAATAAAAATATTGGTGATGGTCAAAAGGTCGGACTATCGCGGGCTGTCGGACTATATATACCGTGATCTTGACAAGTAACATGAAAAGAAAGAATACTTGGTAAAGATTTTTATTATATAGCAGGTTATCTTATTACCTAGATATCATGATGAAAGGTGCCTCTTCCAAAATTGTGAATTTCAAAGCACCTGGGTCAGAGGTACTATGGGGAAGGGGGTTTAATGATCTTATACTGAAAATGAATTCATGCTTAGAAATCTACTCTTTCGTATTTTAAAAACATTTATAATGAGCAAATACGCCTTTTCAAAAATTGTGAAATTATGTGGCCCCAGGGGTAAGGGGTTCCTGTGGGGTTGGGCACTATATATTGATTATACAGTATATATAAATGCATATTTTCTTTGTTCCTCTGATCTACCTCTGTGTATAAAGTTATCAAGAAAACACGCCAAGAGTGTATTTATGATGAGCAATGGTGCCTCTTTCGAAATTTTGAATTTCATAAGTTTAAAACACCAACCAAATTTAATTGTTGGGAAGTTGTTCCATAATACTCAGGTGACCTACAAGGCCCGCGAGCCTTTTGTTATTTGATATAATGGATGTTTTTGAAAAACAGTGCATTTTTACATGTCATAAAAGTACGGAGACCTCAAAATTTATAATGAAATCTAGAACACAACAAAACAATATATTGGTTTCTTTTATTTTCCAACCCCATACAACAAAATTCAGTACATACAGAATTAAATTAAATGTAATACATGTATGATAAAACAGCAATATTTTTGATTAATCACAAATATTAAAGTTTGTGATTCAGATTATTAGTTTTTATAATATATAAATGATTACAATTAATCATTTCTTCAACTGGTTTGTGAGTCATCTAGGAATTATCACAATTCAGGCCATGCAAAGTTAATTCCTTGGTTCTCAGGCCTTTTTTCAAGAAATATGATGAGGAAGGGAGGCATTTTTTTTTTTACTTTTCTATTGCTCCAAAACATGAGGCACCCTTGTAAGAGATGATGGAGGGCCTGAGAACCAAGAAATTAATTTTCTGTGGCCTTAACATCTCTGTCTCCATCTGGTTTGAGCTCTTGGTGTAAACTAGATTTGTTTGTGACCAAATATAAATGCTGGTCCTTCATTATATAAATCAGGTAAAAAATGTTGGTAACTAAACTTAAGACAAAACTTGGAATAGTATGTAATACCTGCTGGGATAATTTTAACCTGTTACTGCTTTCTACTGGATCATGCAAGTTTAAGCAAGGTAATTTTAATAAATAATTCCATAGATTAAATCAACTGATCCTTGATCATTCATCGTTTACCTTGAAATAGCTTAATGACCTTTCTTCAAGTTCATTGACAATTGCTTCTGAGACAATTTTTCTATGCAGTGTTAAATATCTTAAAAGAGGCTTCTAACTATTCACTGATGTCAGAACCCAGGCTGTGGGGGGTGGGGGTGGGGGGTGGCTGTGTCCCCCTAACTTATTTTGCAAAGATAAACATACATGTAATTTAAGCATTGAATATTAGGGCTTAGTCCCCGAACTTTTCTTGTTGGTTTGCTATCCCCCCACTCTGGCAAATCTCAAGTTCCACAAAGCTCAAACCAGATGGAGACAGAGATGTTAAGGCCACAGAAAATTAATTTCTTGGTTCTCAGGCCCTCCATCATCTCTTAGAAGGGTGCCTCATGTTTTGGAGCAATAGAAAAGTAAAAAAAAAAATCCCTCCCTTCCTCATCATATTTCTCAAAAAAGGCCTGAGAACCAAGGAATTAACTTTGCATGGCCTGAATTGTGATAATTCCTAGATGACTCACAAACCAGTTGAAGAAATGATTAATTGTAATCATTTATATATTATAAAAACTAATAATCTGAATCACAAACTTTAATATTTGTGATTAATCAAAAATATTGCTGCTTTATCATACATGTATTACATTTAATTTAATTCTGTATGTTCTGAATTTTGTTGTATGGGGTTGGAAAATAAAAGAAACCAATATATTGTTTTGTTGTGTTCTAGATTTCATTATAAATTTTGAGGTCTCCGTACTTTTATGACATGTAAAAATGCACTGTTTTTCAAAAACATCCATTATATCAAATAACAAAAGGCTCAGCAAATCTCAAGTAGCACTGAGTATT